TTAAAAGATGTCTACTGTACAAAACTGCTTATGTTTATCTTTAAAAAATGTCTAATTTTTAGTATAATCTATACTATACACTAAATTTGGTTATAAATAAATTTCTTAATAATATCACTGCAGATTTTCAATAACACATGAAAATGAATACATAATATTACAAAAGATGTGACTTTCAAGAGTACAAGATTTTGGTTACTATTCAAAATATAAGTGTTTCTTCAAAATTTTAAATTTATTTTTTCTAGAACATATTTAGAAACACTATCCTTTATAAAAAATATATAAATTCTATGTACTAATTAAATTTATCATATGAATATAGGTTTTTGACAGTGAGATTTTTGATGTGACGGTTTAAACCGTCAAAAACTGTCACATGTCAAAAACCTGCCAACCCTGATGTTAGAAATCAAAACGAACTGCGAAGTGAAATTTAGTTTTTCAATTTAATGAATATTTTATTTACTTGTGACAAATTAGTTGTTTAAATATAATGAGATTAAATTTGATTGTACATACTATTGGTCTGACGGTGAATGAATTCTAAGCCTTAGACAAAATTTGTTAATGTACCTAAGTTAAACTATTGCAAGTTTAGTTTTGAATAATAGCTAGTGGAGAGTTATTACCTAATTATTGAAAATTTTGTTGCAGAATATTACAGGGAACATAACATTTTTAAGAAGCGTTTAAAGGTGCTATTTTCATTGGAACTTGTGAAAAGTCGGATTGGCTAGTTTTTGCCAAAAAACCTCTATGGTAATTTCAGAATTCTCCCTAGAAATATTAAAAGGTAGAATGGTGCCTATCAAATATAGACTATTATAAGTTTTTTAAATTAACCTCTTATTCTATTTATGTGTATATTTAAAAAAAAAATTTTTTTTCTTCTTCTCTCTCATTATCAGAATAAGAGAAAAATAGGATGGGTGACTTATTTTTACGAAGAGGAAAGAGGGCACATATAAAGAGATCAGAGGCAGGGTAGACCGCCCTTCTAAAAATGCTTAGGGAGAATACTGGACAATTTTTGTGACTTAATTATAGGCTAATTCCATGTAACTATAACCCTTACTACCATTTTATAAATATTTTTTTTCAAGGTTTTGATCTTATTTTAGCAAAAGTACAATATTCAAACTTTAAGAATTTCATATTATCAAACATTTTACAATTGATGTGATGGCAACTCTATGCTCCAAAACTTTATGTTTTATCAAAAATATGTAGATAAAAAAGTGTTGATATATTCTTTCATTTTTCTTAATAATTAAAGTTAAAATTGAACTTTTTAAAATAAAGTATTTATAGTGTCATTTTCGCCAACTAGTAAAATATTTTTATAAATTTAAAATGATATTTTTTTAATATACTGGTTAAGAAAGTTTTTTTAAACTATGTTTATGAATGGAAATAATGTGTTAATTACGTAAAGTTTGAAAGCTAATAACCAGAAAAAGTCTAACTTATTTTCACAAAGAGAAAAATGCAAAGTTATAATATCTTTGCGCGCGATCTTCCGAGACCTGTGGACACAATGACGTCATGAGGAGGGAAATCGTAGCTACAGTTCTAAGAGCGGAGTGAACTAGCCCTTCTATTCTCTTTAGCCCTGTACTAGTGTACCCTACCAGAGGAAATTATAGGCTTACAAAGGGGGCCCACAATGGGGCCCTACAGGTCACAATGTATGTATATATATATACATGGCTAATTCCATGTAACTGTAACCCTTACTACCATTTTATAAATATTTTTTTTCAAGGTTTTGATCTTATTTTAGCACAAGTACAATAATCAAACTTTAAGAATTTCATATTATCAAACATTTTACAATTGATGTGATGGCAACACTATGCTCCAAAACTTTATGTTTTATCAAGTAGCTTAGAACAGTGATTAGGCCTAGTTTTGGAACAAATTTTTTAAAATAAGTGTACACTTTTCTTATATTCTATTTATGTTATATTTTAAAGTAACAAACATATTTTCTCAAAATAACTTTATTAAAGCTTAGAATATTTTGAAACTATGATTTCATTTCAGTTTAAATTAACAAATTTTGTGGTAGTGTCAGTCACAGAAAAATGGTATTTTTCTTTTTATCTTCAATTTAATAAAGATTTTCAGTTTAAATTACATCTAGTTTCTGACTTTAAAGAATAATATGTCTTATAATATGGATAGAATAAAAATCTATGCAGGAATTTATATATTTTTGAAGGATTTTAAAATGTAGTGTCAGTCACACACATATTATCTATTTAATTATAGTCTTAAAACAAATTTATTTATCAATTAAATATTTCATTTTAGATGGGTAAAACAGCTGCTGAAAGAAAAAAGGAACAAATAGAAAGATTAAAGGCTAGTGGAAAATATGAAAATTTTAAAGAAAGGGAGAAAAACAAACTAAGAGAACGGCGCATCCAGAAGAAGAAACAAATGACTATCGAAGAAAAAGAAGTTTTAAAAGCAAAGAAAAGAAAGGAAATGAAGAAATATAGAGCAAAAAAAGCTCTTAAATTATTAAAAACTAATGATGCAGTGTGTTCTGAATCAAGTTCACCATCAAAAGCTTTTCAGAGTCCACAGTCCTTTGGCAAAGCTGTTTCGAAAGTAAAGAAAAACTTACCCAACAGTCCAAACAAATGTAAGGCAGTCATTAAAAAGTTAGCACAGCAAATTGTGCCAAATATTGTGCAAGCACCTTTGCCAAAGTCGAGAATTTCAAAAATTGATGTAAAACTTGAAGAACAAGTGAAAGCATTTTATGAAAAAGATAGCATAAGCTACCAAGCCCCTGGTACTAAGGACTTTGTTATTGTTAGAGATTTTGAAGGTAAAAAAACAAAAGTGCAGAAAAAATATTTATGTACGACTCTTGGAGAAGCTCATGAAATGTTTAAAAATGATAATCCAGGTATCAAAATTGGTCGCTCCAAATTTAGTGAATTACGCCCTTCTCACATTTGTCTTAGGCATGAAACTCCAGCTAATTTATGCTTATGCATTTATCATGAAAATGTTCGACTTTTGCTTGAAGGAATAAGTTTTTTTCCAAATAGTACATCTGATTTTATTAAAGTTATTATTTGCGCTAATCCAACAGAACAATGTTACTATCAAACATGTAATAGCTGTGAAAATTTAAAAAATCTTCAAATTGTAGTTGAAAATTCAGAAAAAAATCTTGATGAAGACATTAAGCTATTTCAATGGATGAAAGATGAAAATAATGCTCTTGCAAAGCAAAAAATCTGTTTATCAATCAATGAGGCATTCGAAAAATTAAAAGGAAAACTTCCTCAATTTCTGCAACATGCTTTTATAAAGCAACAGCAAGAAATTTTTTTTGAAAGCTTCAAAAGCAATATGCAACCAAATGTGTTGCTCCTACATTTTGACTTTAGTGAAAACTACAGTTTTTTCTCACAAGATGAGATTCAGTCGGCTCATTGGGTCTCTAAATCTTGTACGATTTATACTGCCATGGCCTATTTTATTTATGAGAATAATTTAAAGTCCGTACCTATTGTGGTGATATCGGATTACCTACACCATGATAAATATGCTGTTGCCATTTTTAATAATGCAATTATTAAAAAAATTAAAGATGATTTTTCTGAACTGTCAATTTCAAAAATTATTTACAAATCCGATGGAACTGCGCAACATTTTAAGCAGAAGTATTCCATTTGTTTAGCAATGCTGCAATCAAATGATATTGAATGGCATTTTGCCGCAACAGGCCATGGTAAAGGGCCAATAGATGGTGTAGGTGGAACCCTTAAGCGCAGAGTTCGAGAAGCCACCCTATCAAGAAAAATTAATATAAGCAGAGCTGAAGAATTCTCAAAATCAGCAGAACAAATATGTAAGAATATAACTATATTATATATTCCAGAGTCCAAAATTCAAGCAGGAAAAAATCAACTAGATCAACTATGTTGTCCAACAGGAAGTGAAATATTTGCAATTCCTAATACAAGAAAATTTCACTCTTTTATAAAAATTGATGATTACATCTTAAAGGCATCCAACGTAAGTTTAAATCCTAAACAATATATTAAATTTAACATGAAAATGGGTGAAAGTGAAGATATGAAAATTAGTGAAAATGAAGAAAGAAAAATGAGTGAAAATGAAGAAAGAAAAATGAGTGAAAATGACAAAAAGAAAATAGGTGTAGAAATGTGCGAGAAAGATTCCCCAGTTGAAATACACAAGACAAAAATAGGCAATTGGATACTTGTTCCATTTTCTGGAAAATGTAAAGTGAAGCATTTTGCTGGTCAGGTACTAGATAAAGAAAAAAATTTAATTAAAGTGAAATTTTTGCAAAAAAAAGGAAACTGTTTCATTTGGCCACTTAAGGAAGATATATCATATATAAATCTTGAAACGAACACAAGAATATTGCCTGAACCAAATTTTGATCGCAGAGGCTGTTTAACTTTCGATAATTTTGATTTTTCAAGCTTTATA